CCCCAACAAATGACGGCCCTGCATAAAATACCTATAGTCACTTCTTGAATTTTAACAACGCAGATGCAATGTGTGTAAATTTGAACACGGGTGTTTCAGGTCGAGAATCAATATAGTAACGGCATTGCGCTCTACCTGTCGTGAGAATATGACCATTTATGATCTAATTTCATCGTAAGAGTGCGTTACCTATTGAATCTCTGATGATTCTCATCAGTCGACACAAGTACCTTTTTGCTATGTATATAAATAACCAAACTAACATTCCCAAACTAGTGAAGTTGGCTTGAGTAGTCGGCGTATATCCTACCGCACGGTAGCTGTCGAAATCGAAATCAGGTGAAATCGGCACCAATGCTAGGTCTAGTCCTATTGTACAACGAAAAAATGATATTAAAAATTCCKAAAAAGTTCATGCTTGGTGGAATTTTACTTTGAACAATATTATCTACATAGATGATTATCCTGATGCGCTCTACTATGCAGTGACACGCTCTGACGCTCTTTTGGATGTTGCGTCCGGATGAGTGATATCAACGTTATGACTACCCAAAAAATTCCATACCTCCACGCCAAAAGTTTTTTTTCGTTTTCATTTTATCAACATTGCATTATAATCGTCGTCATCATAAATGTATTTTTGATGTCGTATTTGAGTATTTGATTGATACCAATATTATTAAGTTAATACCACATACGAATGGTGTGAACGGGTTTGTGGTACCTATAAACAGCAATTATTATGTGTTCAAATATTCTACGCATTCATATAACATTTTATACACTATAGCTTGCGTGTACTTGTAATTTTCCGTCATTATAATGGAAAATAGTTCTTATAAGCAGACAATAATTAACCATCCACCCAGCTAATGCGTACCTAGCTTATACAACAAAGAGCGTGAGTCAGTTTTGACGTTTTTCAGGATGAAAAAAAAAAATATTTAACTGATTAAATCTCTCAACAATCAATACCCACTATAGCTGGTTATGATTAATAAAATAATATTTCGTACTAATAAGTAATAGATAATGTACCTATTTTAAATACATAAATATGATTATTATTATTTTTTTTTATTTTTAGAACCTTTAGTTAGTAACTACTAACTATTATAGGTATAGTTCAACGATTACAGATAGTGTTTACATACATAAATATTATATAAAGTGTAAAATATAAGTGATAAGTCTTAAATAGTTAAATGAGATACAAATAGGCGCAATTTCAATTTAAAAAAAAAAAAACTAAGGGTGCTTAAGTTATGCATTTTCTCATTATAGTTATTTTTTTGTGAGGTATAATTTTTGATACATAAATACAAACATTATTTGAGTGTTGATTTTAAAATTAGGGGTGCTAATACAGTAATACTCTTTAAGTCCCCTCCTTATTCGCGTCTATGGAGATGCGTGCAGTTGCAAAACATTTATATTGAATTAGCCTTTTTAAGTAAATTACTATATAAGTATAGGTTTTGAAAAGTTTTAATTTTTCTGATAGAACTAATAAAATATATTTTAATATCCATAGGTTGGTTTGGAATTTAATTTTACCGATTATCCAATTTAATATAAAATTAATGATTGTTAGTTAGTTTGTCCTCTACTCCTCTATAGGCTCAAATATCTACTACTGGACCGTTAAAATATATATGTATAATTATATGAATTTCTTGTGATTCAGGGAAGGTTTGTATCTCTGTTTTTCAACATATCTAAATAGGTCGTGCTATAGGGTAGCTMACACATGAACAACTTTGATTCAGTTCGCAAAAATAGAATATTTTTTCTTTACCAAAATGTGTGGATTCCATTGGTTATACYGATGATGAATTGATAAAAGAGTTATTATTGTTATTATGATTAGATATATTTTATTGTGCTACCAAATACAAGACCAAATAAGAATACTGAAACCATAAAATAAATGTATTTCCGTGGTTTTTTAAATAWGAAAATAATATATGCATTGATTATTATTTATTACCTGTATTGGGGCCCATCTTGCAATCTTGCAATCATTTATCCCTAGAAAATGCCGAGTG